GTCTCATGCCGTACGCGCTGCTGTGTGTGATCTCGTTCCAGTTATTGCAGAGACGGATGTACTTTCCGCGGTCCGTCGTACCACCTATTGCGCTATCATTATGGAACCCGTGAAAAACGTTCGAGATGAACGAAACAAGAGCCTGGAGCTGCGCAATGTTGCTACCTTTATAAAGAACGTTGGTTACGAGGTACTAGACACCACAAACAGGACGAATCTGGACTCTATCCTCATGCGCTACATCACTCGTCGGGAAACGCAAGAGGAGTGTTGGCATATTCTAGCGGCCATATGTAGCAGCCACGCATGGTCAATATACAAGCGGGTGCTACATACGAGTAAGTCTGGAAGGTCTATAGCCGCTAGCTTCTCTGCCAGCAAGAGTGAGGCACCAACGACGGCAGGAAGCACTCATTCCGTGCAAAATGCTTCTGTTGGGAGCGAAGGTACGACATCTGCTCGGACACGAAGTGCGGCTCCAGCAAATTGTGTCAAGCAGCAAGAACTCATACAGCACGTTGATGGTTTGGTGCGCCGCTGCATTCCTCACCTGGCGAATGCTGTTCTTTCTGCCGAGCTTGTCAAGTATGTAACGATGATTCAAGAACATGTACTCCCCGTGAGTGCTGAGCTGCAGGCGGCTCTTGAAAATCTTGTTGACAATAAACTAAAGGACAATCTTCAGGATTCAAAGCGGATGGATTTTAGTGGTGGCATGCCAAATTCGACACGCGATAAGTTCCCCGTCTCTACAGTGGGTTCTGTCCCACTGCATTCAAAGCATGATGCCCAACAGCAGGCATCAACCTTCAGTGGGCCCAGCAGTACTGTGGGCCGTTTAGCGCAGTACTTTCTCTCGCCTGCCACGTTAGAGGCCGGAACCGGCAATTTTAACCGCAACGTGACGACTAGTAGTGTTGGAGGAAGTCAAGTGAATGTGTGTACGAGGAGCGATGGGGCAGGAAATTTAGCTGGAGGAGGTCACAACTCATCTATAAGCAGCGTGGCAATTTCTGCGACAACAGCAAATACAAATGCAACAGCAACAACAACGACAACGACAACAACAGGTGGTGTAGGGTTTGTTATCGGTAGTGGTGGTAACAACAACATGTCTACGAATTATCCAGTAAGCGCTCCGGAGCTTTGCATTGCTCTTGGGCTCTTTGCAAAGCGACAAATAACTTCATTGCAGCAGCTGGAGGAAGTTCGGTCTTCCGTTATTCATTATCAACGTCACCAGGACGCCCAAGTACGGCAGCAGTGCAGTGCCTCGGTTGTGGAAGCACTGAGCCAGTGGACGTACTACGCAAGGCAGCATCGCACCTCTACCTACTCCACACGTGTCACCGAAATTCTTGAGCTCTACTTAAGGCATGTAGTGATGGAGCTGGATCCGAAGGTTCGACTCATGGAAGTAACACTTCTTGCAGATGCCGTGGATTTACGTCCATTTCTGTTAGAGCAGAGAATTTTAAAAACGCTTATGAGTTTCCTTCATGACACTTCCCAGGTACGAGAGAAAACTGTGGAACTTTTCGTAGTTCTTACGCAGGAACCGCGGTCAACGCCTTCAGTGGAAGCGGTGCAGCAAAGTTTACTTATTTTGGTAGAGTCGTACGTGGCGGTAATTGAGTACTCTGACGATCCTCGAATTCTTATTCGTCATATTTCTGATCTTCAAACAATTGCAAAGTCCTCTCTGGCGCCATTGATGGATCATATGCATCGCATTTTTATTGCTTTTCGGAGGCACTTGGTGGATGAGATGGTGGCCGATGCTATCGCCCTCTCCATTCTGAAGACAACCGACACCATTCTTGGTGCCCTGATGAAGGATGAGAACCTGATGCTCCGGAACCAAGATGATTTGGCAGAGTTGTACGCCCCAGCGGTAAGTATTCTCCGCCACAGCACATCCACCTCACTGAGCCACGCTGCCATTAGCTTTTTGGTGAAAATGCATGCTATTGGGGCTTCGCCGCGGGAGTGGAATGCGACTCAGCTTCATGATCTGCTGCAATCCATCACCTCCGTCTACATTGGTGCATTGAACAGTACCGATGAGGAGGTGAGACAGGTGCTTACACTTTTTGGTCAATTAGGTGCTGTTGATCCTTCAACCAAAACCAGACACCGCTGTCACAAAGAAGAAAGATGATGAGGCGGCCATTCAAGATGAAGCCGATCTTGAACTGACATACGATTAATACAGTCATTGTCTACCGTGATCTGAGCCGCATATTGGATGTGAGTCTTTCGGAGATGGTATGCACACAGGTATTACGCACCTTACTGCAACTTGTGCAAACGACTAGTGACAGGAAAGATCTCATTGGAGGAGCTCATGCGGCAAAGGCAGTGTTGCAGATTGCAAAGCGTTCAAACGACACACCGTCGCTGCGGATAGAAGCGCTGCACGTTCTCGCTGCTATCACCTCACTAAGGCATGAAAAAATTTCCAAGACGGTCTTACCTGAAATTGTGGTGCTACTTGAACAACTCTGGTACCCACAGGATCATGCCCTTTTTCGTGCCGTATTGGATGTTGTTAGTGCGCTGAAACCAGGGAAACTATCTAGGAAGGAGCAAGCGGAAGTGTGGCCTTGGTTGTATCCACGCCTTGTGGATGTTGCCCTGCAAGATCATACAGAGTCAAGAGAATTTTGTTTGCGTGTCGTGGACATTTTGTTGCATGCCAGTTATATTCCTCCACATTGCATACCAGTTGTCTTTCCTATGCTCATGCATTTTGTGCAGCAACTTGAGCAATTGGTGGAAGTACGCTCACTCTCATTGTGTGCCGCAATCCACATTGTGTGTAATTTGAAAGCTGTGCAACATCTTCCTGCTTTAATGCATGCTATTCGGACTCTCACACGACATTGTGTGTTAAGCGAAGACCTTGGACCTCGCCTATCGACTGCGATGGTGCTGGAGGCGTTGAAAGTCCTTGCCGCCATGTGTCTGAGTGGAAAGTCAACGATAGTCGCCCTGCGTGAGTGTTTGCGAGATACAGAGGAAATGAGCAGTTTGGGTCCGACAATATCGTCGGTGGCAGAAAGTGGGCTGGATACCACAGCTGTGACGGGGGATCAGCCGCGATCGCCGTACCTGAGCCGCTATCACCCGAAGCACCAGCAGGAGTTGGGTCATGGCAGTCAATACCTTGACCAGCCTGATGACGATCGTTATGACACGTATCCGCAGGGACAGCACGACATCACACTGTTTATGAAGCACGTGGAGTTTGGGTTGCGTACAAAGGATAACAAATGGCGGGAGTGGTTTGCGGAGTTTCAAAAGAACATCATTATGGTCTCCCCACACCCTGTCTTCCGCATCGTAGTGGATCTCTTTGACAAGCACGAGCCGCTACGCCGCAAATTGTTTTACCCATCCTTCAAGTGCTTCTACGAGTCTCTCAACGCGGAGCATATGAAGAAGGTGAATGAAGTTCTTCACCTCGCCCTGCGCTCCACAGACAGTGAAGTGATCTCCAAATGCCTTGGGCTTGCCGATTACCTTGATCACAATCCACCGGACATTAAGGAGCCTGTCCTGCAGCAACTACGATACCTTGAGAGCAATGATAGCAACACACGGGCGACAACGGCCCTTCATTCGGCACAAGACCATCAAAGTAGGACGATCAGTGATAATTTCAACTTTGAGTCCCCGGTGCAGTCACTTCGTTCTCCCGTTGAATCACGCATGGGCCCAAGGAACGCCATGCCAAATCTCATTGACAATCCACTTGTGGATCTGAACAGTGGCTGTCAAACGGACAAGAACAACAACAACAACAACAATGAGGAAAGCAACGGTAACACCAATGAACTTACTGAAAAGGGTGTAGACACTTCTCGTTATTATCATCAGAATAATAACAGGATGCGAACAACAATGTGTGAAAATTCGGAAATTGCGATTGGATTTAATCCATTGGCACGTCCAATTACCTCAACGAATGCGCAAAATCCCACTTCACCCATAACGTATCCACTAGCATCACCTATTCCCAATAGTTTAAATCCGCTCTTTACAATGGATAACCTGGTAGAGGCAGCACAGCGCACACGAATGTATGATAAGGCCATAAGCTATCTTGAGAACAAGGTGTTACCTGTCATTGAGAAGTATCGTTACACAAGCAGTGTCCCAAAAGAGGCGTTGCACTCTCTTGTCCTCCCACTTGCATGGCTGTACAGTAAACGTGAGATGCAGGATTCTGTTGTTGGACTTTTTCGTGTCATTCGCTACAAGACTGAAAATGAGGATGGATTGAATTATGAATTGTTGCAGTGGTGGGATGTAGCACAGCGTGTCTATGCTGGAAAAGTGGAGAATAACAAAAACTTCAGTCTGGTGGATCTTGAGGGTTACGTACGAACGCTCTGTTTGTGTGGAGAATGGGAGAAGGCGCTTCATGTCGTCAAAACGGCCTCCCCACGGCTCACACAGTCCTCGGCGGCTATAGCACAGTCGGGGGCCATGGCGGCTTGGATTCTTGGAGAGTGGGATGATGTTAAGCACCTTAAAGAGTGTATCCCCGTGAAGGAAAAGGTCGACACGGCACTTCGTCTCTTCTTTGAGAACGCCGTTTACCTTCATGACGAATTTCACAGCAAAACCGATGGCCAAGCTATCTTGATGTGTGCGGATAGACTTTGTACGACGATTACACGTGCCAAGATGGAGGTGGATGAAAGTCTGAAGACATTACTTCCACTTAGTTACGCTCACGCTTATGAAAATCTCACCCTACTACAGCATTTTACTGAAATGGAAGAACAGATTGTGTATGTTCAGTCAAATTCTTCTGTCTTTCGTGAGCAGTTGGTGGAGCGGTGGAAAAGTCGCTTTGCGGCACTTAAACCAGACTCCCTTATGCCGAGTC